ATAAGTAAACTCGAGCCTTCTTTAACGGCTGCTGGAAGCTGCAAGCTGATACCTCTTCTCGTTCTGGAGAAATGGCCTCTTGAAGGCTATCGTGCACAACCACTCAAAGCAAAAAAAAATCAAAAATTCCAGAATTCATTGCGAAGCAGCTTTTCATTGGGTTTTGTCCATATTCACCGAGTGATTAAAGAACAGCCTTCTCTAAAGGCTGCTGGACGTTTCAAGCTCAAATCTTCTCCAGTTTTTACGCAATAGTCTTTTGAAGTATAGCGCATTTTATGCGCTCAGTGGATTGATTGCGACCGTTCAAAAGCGACTCAAAATGGACAGAAAATGTTGGTTTTTTCTAACTTGAAGATTCTAGCGGGGTTTTTCATGAGCTGATCACATTCCTCGCTTTCAGCTGATCAAAATAATCTGGAGTTTTCATAGACTTGATTTTTTCTTGCGAAAAATGACCGAAAATCAAAAATTTGCAAGCGTATTTTGTGCCCTCATTGGATGGATTGCGATCCAAAAAGCTTCTTGATATGAACATTTTAGGTGTGTATGCATTTCTTAAAGAAAATATCGTCGGATAAAGATAGCAACCGTTAAACAATCGCTTGAAATAAAACAAAATGTCGATTTTTCCGAACTTTTTTTTTGAATAAACCGGCCGAAAAAAAAAACGGTCGAACAAAGAGGAGAGTAAAGTGTGTTCAAAGTTGCGTAATTGGTTGTGAAGAAGCCTCTCACTGGGCTTTGCCCATATTCACACCATAAGTAAACTCGAGCCTTCTTTAACGGCTGCTGGAAGCTGCAAGCTGATACCTCTTGTCGTTCTGGAGAAATGGCTGCTTGAAGGCGTGTTGTGCACAACCGCGTAATTCAAAAAAAAGGTCCAAAATTCCAGAATTCATTGCGAAGCAGCTTTTTATTGGATTTTGTCCATATTCACCGAGTGATTAAAGAACAGCCTGCTCTAAAGGCTGCTGGACGTTTCAAGCTCAAATATTCCCCAGTTTTTACGCAATAGCCTTTTGAAGTATAGCGCGTTTTATGCGCTCAGTGGATTGATTGCGACCGTTCAAACCGACTCAAAATGGACAGAAAATGTTGATTTTTTCTAACTTGAAGATTCTAGCGGGGTTTTTCATGAGCTGATCACATTACTCGCTTTCTGCTGATCAAAATAATCTGGAGTTTTCATAGACTTGATTTTTTCTTGCAAAAAACGACCAAAAATCAAAAATTTGCAAGCGTATTTTGTGGCCTCATTGGATGGATTGCGATCCAAAAAGCTTGTTGATATGAACATTTTAGTTGTGCATGTATTTCTTAATGAAAAAATCGTCGGATAAAGATAG